TCTTATATATAAAATTCTCGTGTCACAATGTTCGTTCCCGTACTCTTCCGAAACGGCTTGACCGATTCTCATGAAATTTTGTGAGCATATTGAGTAGGTCTGAGAATCGGCCAACATCTATTTTTCATACCCCTAAATGTTAAGGGTGGTCCACCCCAAAATTTTTTTTTTTATTTGGACAAAATTTTCTGTTTTTATTTTTTCATGATTCAGCATTGAATAATACATACAGTTCTAAATTTTCACCCTTATACGATCAACCCCTGATTTTTAATCGCGATTTTTATATTATTTTGTTCCATCCACAGTTCCACAAGATGGCAAAACAACGTTTGCCGGGATTGCAAAACAACGGGAGACAACGGGACAAAGGGACAACAACGGGACAACGGGAGACAACGGGTTTGCCGGGATGGCAAAACAACGTTTGCCGGGTCACCCAGTGTTTTACTAAATTTGTAATGTGTTTAGAGTAGCTGCAGTTCTGTAATTACAAATGTGAAGAAAGCACAAAAAACAGACCAATATATAATTGAGGAGGATGGTGATGAAATAGAAAGCGAAATTATTGTCTTAGAAATGGAATATGGAGAAACTTCAGAAATAGAGACATCAGTATGTAAAACTTAAATACTACTGTAACATTCATTTTTACGTAGGTTGATATAGTTACAAAATAGTGAAATAAATAGTTTTAAAGTGAATAATAAGTTAATGCCAGTTACTTAAGTAAGTATGTAAAGTATTTATCAAAACTTTAATTTCTTTTATGGCTCATTCTTGACCACTCAATATTTGCCTTTGTGCAGCTCTGTGTACAGATTTTACGAAACAGATTTGTATAGGTAGTTGAGAATCAGATCTCTGGCATTAACAAAGCAATTCATGGTTATAATATAATTGCAAAACATCATTTCAACCTAAAAATAAATAACATATTCTGTTATTTTTTAAATTTTGTGGATTATCATTTGGTAGATAATGTATAATTTTTATTTTCTAGAAAAATATATTATGTAATGACGAGCACATTTCAAAGAACAGAGTAGACAATTCTGCAGGTAATAGGTGGAGCAGTAGACGAAGACCTGAACTATCAAAAATAGGAAACATTGCTTTGCGATATGAAGAAGTAGCAGAAATAAAAAAAGAAGTGCTGAAATGTCAGCTACAAACTATGCAGGCAGAAAAAGCAGAATTAGAAGAAAAAAATGAATGGGAGAGAAAACGTCGTCAGCTACAAGAAAATAGAGAGAAAGAACAATTTGAATTAACAAATAAAGCTCTTGAGCTCGATGTGGAGATAAAAAAGGCTCAATTAACGGCATTACATGCAGTGAATCAAGCAAATCAATAGCTTAAGTCATACTCTTTGTTTTCAGCATTTGTTTGTAAATTGTTTCTTACTACATATTTAGTTCCCGTTAAATTAAATTAGTTTCTTTGATAAATGAGTTTAGTACTTGTTAAATAAAATATTGTTTTTAACATTCTGTATTATTTACATTGTTTCCTACTATCAGTGACAGTAGTATGTACATTAAAATATAAAACATGATTCATTGCTCATTCATGAAGAAATATTTAAAAAACCAGCAATAGTGAGTGTATTCAGGATAATATTCTGAACAATAACTTTTAGTGCAACAAAATAAAATCATTTTTGAAGATTTTTATTTAATTTATTTTGAGTAATACTTAAGATGTATAACATTATTTTCAGTAGTATTAAATATTTTGATTTACATGAAGATTATGAAAATAATCAGTTATTAAAGCCATTCTTGTAGTACCGGCTACATCTTCACCAACTTCTTCATTAACATCAGGAATTTGCCCATTTTGAATTAGAAGGTTAAGTATATGATCGTCCAATTCATGTGGTAAAGGTGGTGCTTCTTCGTCTCCCATATTTAATGCAATATTATGAAGTACTGACGTGGAAATGATGATTGTTAAAAATGTTTCTAATTTTAATCTGCAGCCATAAGAGAGTATAGGAAAACGCCTCTTCAAAACACCAAACAATCTTTCAATTACGTTTCTTGTACGAATATGGCTTTGATTATATCTTCTCTCGGCCTATGTGGCAGGAAGCAACAAAGGTGTCAATAAGTATGTTTTATTGGCACATCCGTTGTCCCCTAAAAGTTCATAAAATACAGAATGAATAATAACAATAAACACTTTAATACAGCTACCTAAGAGTAAACAATTTTGATATTGGTTATTTTCAAAATCCATCTTCGGACGACTATTATTAAAAATTGTAGAATCATGAGTACTTCCTGGCCATCTAGCTACGACATTTAATATTTTCAATCTTGAATCACAGACAAATTGAGCATTAATCGAAAAGTAGCCCTTTCTATTTCTAAACACTTCTGGATCATCACCTCCTGTAAAACCACTGTAAATACAAATATTTTTCACGAAAGTATATTACCTGGAGAAATTATTCTGCAGTGAGTGCCATCAACTGCACCAATCACTCTTGGAAAATTTGCAACATCATAGAAATTTTGTTGTGTGGCCCTTATGCTGTTAATATTAGTCGGCATTGATACATAATTCTGTGATAAATTAGCTATCGCCTCAGACACTCTAACAATAATTCTAGATACTGTAGATAAATGCATTCCAGCAAAATCTGCCACCAAATCTAAATGTCCACCTGTGGAGTACAACCTTAGAGTAACAAGCAACTGGTTTATAGGAGATACACAGTTGTTTCTACAAATAAAATTATTTGTTATAGAAATGGTTTATTACAATATATTTACATCTGTGATCTGTGTACTTACAAATCATATCGATATTCCAGTTGATCTTCTATCTGGACTAAAATATGTACTGTTTCTTTAGAAAGTCGAAATCGTCTTCTAAAAGTACTTGCATCCATTGTGTAAAAGTGATTTTCTCTTTCATAAATTTGACGAGGAACATCAAACTGTATAATATTAAGAATTTCCAGGTCATCCTCATCTACTTCAACAATCTCAGGAAATAAATTTCCCATTTTACACTGTATTAGACACTATACATATATATTATTAGTTAATTTTAGTCTCAATTTTATGTAGTAAAACTAACCTAAAAAATAACTTAACAACCACTAATCCACACCCCAACCATGGCTTAATTTTAACAACGGCTTAATCCATAAGTTATAGTTAAATTCATTGGTGCAAATAAATTTCAGATTTAATTATAAGTTAAATTTAACAACTTATCCAAAACTGGTGCAAACCACTGTATATTATTTTTATAATATCTTTGTAGATCAGAAATTCGTCGGCTGTTTATTCTGCAATGCATCTGATTAATGATTATAATTAAAAACCCAATCAACAATTTTTCAAAACTTAACCATACTTTCAGTGTAGCCGCCACACATAAATGTAGTTAAAATTAGTGATGGGAGATTTCGAGTGAAAAATCGAGTGGTACTCGATTATTGAGATCACTCGAGATATCTCGAGATGTTTACTCCCACCACTCGAGTGATTATTACCCTACGGTTGCACCCCAAAATGTTAGTGCATACTGCAAATAGTCACTGATTGCGTAACCATTTTTTTAGAATAAAACGAAAAAATTGTGTGAGCTTTTTTTTTTTTAACTACGCTTATAAGTAATATATGACTAATACAAACATATTTGTGCGCCGCTGAGATGAAAACGACCAATATCTCGTATCTCGAGTGATCACTCGATTGTTAGAAGTACTCGATTATCAAAATTGGTCGATTATGCCCATCACTAGTT